TGAACCTGGCCATGGCTGACCTGCTCTTTGCCCTGACCTTGCCGATCTGGGCTGCCTCCAAAGCAAAGGGCTGGATCTTTGGCACACCCCTGTGCAAGGTGGTCTCACTCCTGAAGGAAGTCAACTTCTACAGTGGTATTCTACTGCTGGCCTGCATCAGTGTGGACCGCTACCTGGCCATTGTCCATGCCACACGCACACTGACTCAGAAGCGGCACTGGGTCAAGTTCATATGCTTAGGCATCTGGACCCTGTCCTTGATCCTGGCCCTGCCCGTCTTTCTCTTCCGCAGGACCTATCGACCGCCCTATTCAAGCCCAGTCTGCTATGAAGACTTGGGTGCCAATACAACAAAATGGCGGATGGTGTTGCGGGTCCTGCCCCAGACTTTTGGTTCCTCGTGCCCCTGCTGGTCATGCTGTTCTGCTACGGATTCACCCTGCGCACGCTGTTTGCGGCCCACATGGGGCAGAAACACCGGGCCATGCGGGTCATCTTTGCTGTGGTGCTCGTCTTCCTGCTCTGCTGGCTGCCCTACAACCTGGTCCTGATCGTAGATACCCTCATGAGGATGCGGGTGATCTCGGAGACCTGTGAGCGTCGCAATGACATAGGCCGGGCCCTGGATGCCACTGAGATCCTGGGCTTCCTCCACAGCTGCCTCAATCCTCTCATCTATGTCTTCATTGGCCAGAAGTTTCGCCACGGACTCCTCAGGATCATGGCCATCCATGGCCTGATCAGCAAGGAGTTCTTGGTCAAGGATGCAGGCCTTCCTTTGTTGGCTCTTCTTCAGGGAACACTTCTACCACCCTCTAAGACCCCCTGCACAGGGCTCTTCCCTTCCCTTCACCATCCATTCCAAGCCTCATATCCTCTGACTGTTCACAGTCTGCATGTCAAGGCAGCCTGCCATTCTGGTTACAGGGAGTTGCTGAGGCCACATCCTTACCAGGCCCCCATTGTGTGCCCTGGCCCCACCTCTTACCATAATCACCATGTCAACTGCTAGAGCTTGGTCCATCCAACCATTGAGCCCACAGCCCTCTGTCTTCTGGCAGAGAGTCTTTGAAGACACTCTTTTAAGTAACTATAAAAGTTCCCACCATTGGGAACCAGTGATGTCAAACATCATTAGTTGCTTCCCCAACTTTCTCTTTCCTTGCCTTCTAGCAAAGTCCCTTGAGAGAGGCTGAGAATGACAGACACTCACTTTCTAAGACTCTCTTCAGCCAGGAGTGGCCATATCATCTGGTTCTGACTAATAAGACTTAAAGGTAGTAGTGTGCTGGTAAACCTTTCTTCTTGGGGGAAAAGCCCTGATTTGTAGTATTTGCCATGCTCTATGGCGTAAA